TTCATATTTGCATTTTTTTCAATGAACGACCTCCACTGAAAAAATTTCGGGCTTCGTGCATGCTGTATGTTGCGCGGATCCGTGATGCAACACTATCGACAAACCTATATGTCACAGCCAACGTACGGTCACGTGTTAAAATTTAACTCAAAATCCAATTACGCTTTTATTAATCTATCCGCTGGAAGTCTGGTGCAAAGGGGCTTAATCGAACAGGCAGGCCTGGTGCTTCCAGGCTAGGGTTTTATATGCAAAACTTACGATGATTTACGTTGAAAAGCGCGCAAGGTAAGTGTAAAGCAGCAACCACTCAATCATTTAGCGAACTGTTTGCTCCAGGAGCTTTTGTAGGTCTCGAGATGAAAAATCGGTACAGAGACCCAACACACACACAGACACACAAAAACACACAGACAACCTGTCGTCAATATTTGTTTCCCGCATTGCATAATTGCAAAAAACGCATAAAGAATAAGGTGCAGTTGAGGCTGGAAACGGTGGGGGACAAAAGATGACAAATAGTAGCTGTCAAAACAGTCCCGAATACCGCCTTCGTCATTTGAATGTTTGTAACCTGTTTTGTTTCGTAAACGAAAATAAACAAGGTACTTTTGTGACCAGTTTATTCATATTCTATGCTACAATAAAAACCGATGCAAAATCTATTACATTCCACAACCTCCTGTGGGGCAGCCGCCACCCAGAATGGTACCACCGCCTAACACAGCGCCGCCAGCACATCCACCGCTCAACAACAGAGCGGGAGTGCATCGAGGCCGAGGCGGCGGAGGTGGCGGAGGTGGCGGTGGAGGTGCTGGTAGCGAGACAACTATCGGTGGTGGAGGGGGTGGTGGCGGTGGTGGCGGTGGAGGCGGCACGAAAACTGGTGGAGGAGGTGGGGGCGGTGGTGGAGCTGGCATGATGACCGGCGGAGGAGCAGGGAGAGATTTAAGAATGATTGGCGGTGGTGGCGGAGAAGCTGGGATAACAATTGGTGGTGGCGGGGGAGGATGGACAACGATTGGTGGCGGCGGTGGACCCGGAGGTATGATTATTGGAGGAGGTTTTGGAGGTGTTGGCAAGATTATTGGAGCTTGTGGCGGAGCTGGTGGCGCTGGAACGACAACTGGTGCTGGAGCCGGCGCAGCGCACGCGCCGCCGGTGCAGCTGGTAGTTACAGTACATCCTGGACATGCTGAAATTGAAAGTGCATAAGTCTAGGTATACACGTGCTATACTGTCATACCTTAAAATATTAAAAAACGTTTCAAAGATACAACTACTTCACAGAAATAATAAGTTAAAAAGCAGATCACCTCTAAATACACGGGCGTCGGCCACGGCAAGCAGAAGAAGCGCGATAAACCACATGGCTGAAAACAGTTACAGTCTTTTTGCGTTAACTTCATCATCGTTACCTAATGCAAAAACGCGAATAACTAGAAAAATTCATCGGCCTGAAAAGCCATTTGCTTTGCTGAGAAACGTTAGATTGCTAGCGCTACCAAATAACACTTATGATACAGCGAACACAAATGGTCGCATAATGAAGTCAATCGAAATGAGAGGCAAAGACACTCGGGAAGTAGCACGAGTGGTATAAATCTCAATAGTTATTACCCACTGACCAGGGCTCTCGACTGCTCCCACTTTTGAGTGCTTCTTACAAGCAGACTTAT